ACTGGTCTAAGTCACTGATCATCCCAGTCTTCAAGAAAGGCGAGAAGTCCTCTTGTGATAACCACAGAGGAATCAGCCTGACAAACATAGTGTCTAAGATCCTAAGTTCTATAATTCTCCGACGCCTGAGTGGAGCTCGGGAACAGCAAGCCCGAGAAAACCAGGCAGGCTTTAGACCTGGCCGTGGATGTATCGACCAAATATTCACACTGCGCCAGGTCCTGGAACATAGGCATGCTTACAGACGCCCGACAATAGCTGTATTTCTCGACCTGAAGGCGGCATTTGACTCCGTTGATCGAGAAGTCTTATGGCAGTGTCTGTCACTGAAAGGCGTGCCTAGTAAGTACATCACCTTATTGAAAGCTCTCTACTCGAACACTTGTGGGCATGTTAGAGCCTATGGTGAGTTGTCCAGGGAGCTATACTCATCAAGTGGTGTCCGTCAAGGATGCCCACTATCCCCATTCTTATTTAATTTTATCATAGATATTCTTATGGAGGTTTCCCTCTCGTCACCTAATTACAAAGACGTTGACCGGATCACAGGTGAATTTTCCTTAGATCTAGAATATGCAGATGACATAGTCCTGTTAGGTGAAGACGCTGACAAGATGCAGAGTCTTCTGAACACTTTGAGTGGGAATTTGAGAATGTTTGGGATGCGATTTTCACCACCCAAATGCAAATTTTTGCTCCAGGACTGGTCTTCAGCGGTACCGCGGTTAACAATAGAGAGTGAAGTGGTTGAGTGTGTTGACCACTTCACTTACCTGGGAAGTAGGATCAACCCGGTGGGTTAGTTGCCGATGAGATTTCTGCACGGATACAAAAGGCTCGATTGGCTTTTGCCAATTTGCGCCACCTATGGCGCCGCCGTGATATTCGTTTGTCTATTAAGGGTCGCGTGTACTGCACAGCAGTCCGCTCTGTTCTACTGTATGGCTGTGAAACATGGCCATTGAAAGTGGAAGACATGAGAAGGTTACAGGTATTTGACCACCGTTGCCTTCGTAGTATAGGACGTATTCCGTGGTGTCACCATGTGAGTAATGCAGAAGTTAGGTGTAGAGTTTTAGGGAGAAGAGGTAAGTCAGTCGACGAGGTTGTGAACCTTCATCGACTGAGATGGTTGGGACACGTACTACGTATGCCTAGTCACCGATTGCCTCGTCACACAATGTTGGCTGAGGTGGGTTCAGGCTGGAAAAAGGCCCGAGGTGGCCAGACTAAAACATGGCACCAATGTATGAAGTCTCTGACTGTTGGTTTAAGCCATGTAGGACGATGCAGACTAGGTGGTTGGGGTCCACGGGACAAGAGGAACCAGTGGTTGGAGACCCTAGGTGATATGGCTCAGAACCGAAGTCAGTGGCGCAGATGTATACACACATTATCCTCATCTTAACAACGCTATACCGAATCTCACTATTTTGTCACTCCTCTTTCCTTTCTTCTCGTACTTTATATTTCTTTTGACTGCATTCACTTATCTTCATCCTTCACCTCACTACCTTTTACTTGATGTGCTGATATGAGGTGTGGCAACTCGGACCGTTACGCAGTAATGCCTGGTCCTATGTTGATAATGATGATGATGATGATGATGCACTATGATCGGTTTTAGTTCACGCTTAAATGGTAGAGGGAGGACGTTAGGCAGCTCAATGGGGATAGGTGTACTGGAAGTTGGTGCTGGCTAGAAACAGGTGGTCTGTGCAAAGTTGTAGATTACGCCCCTCATTCTCTAACCTGCGATCAACTAATCCCCATTGACCACCTAAACGAATCTCTTCCCGACCCACTTGTCCAACCTGTGTACTCATTTCCCCAGCTGGGACTATGATATCTGTCGAACGCATGTGGAAGAGAAAGTCATTCAGTTGATGATAGAACTCTTCTTTAGATGTATCTGTACTGCAGTTGGTCGGGGCATAGACAAAGATGATGAAGAAACATTGTTTGCCTTGCAAGTAACCTCTCACTTTAATAAAGCCGTCCAGCCTAGCAGCACACAGATGATTGTGGGTAGGATTCCAGTCGACTAGTGTGACTTCCTTTCTGACACTTAGTACCACACCAATACTGGTAAGGCGGACTGTTGATGGTGCAAGGTCATTGGATAAGCACACTGATGAACACACTATTTGAGCTAAGGGATACGGAAGTTAATTTAAGAATCTGACTAAGATTTTGTTTGAAATACAGCGTGTGACAATACCGAGGAACAGCAAACCCGAGGAAGGAAGGCAGATTTCAGATCCCGTTGTGATTGCATTGACCACCTACTCACCCTCTACTAGGTTGTGGAACACTGGCACGTATACTGAGGTTCGACATTACTTGTGTTTCAAGACTTGATGGCCGTATTCGAACTCATCGAGCGAGAGTTCTTAATGCAGTGTTCGCTGAAATTTGTACTGGGCAACTACATCACTCCATAGAAAGCTCTGTACTGAAACACCCGTGTGCGTGTTGGAGCCTATGGTGAGTTATGTACGTCAAGTGTTCTCCGTCAATGATGTCCACTGTCTTCATTATTACTAAAGCCTATCATAGACCTACTTATGCGAATGTCGCTGTCGTCATCTGACTTTGCGGAGAATGAGCTTGTCACGGGTGACTCCTTAGTAGATCCGGAATACGGAGATGATATATCCGTGTTATTTGAAGACGCTGATGAGACACAAAGGTCACTGGACACCTTGAGGGGCAATTTGGGAGTGATTGAGATGCGTTTGTTACCGCCGAAATGTAAATTGTTGCTCTAGGACTGGTCTTCACTAGTATTTGTTCTGACAACAGGGAGTGTGTGTTGATCACTACATGTACCTGGGAAGTTGGGTCAGCCCTAGTGGATCAGTGAGCGACGAAATCTCTGCTAGATTACAAAGGGCTCACTTAGCCTTTGTCAACTCATGCCATTCATGAGATATCCAACTGCCCATTCAGGGTCGGATGTGTGGTACTGCAGTTTGTTCTTTGCTACTATATGATTGTGAAGTATAGTCGTTGAAGTTAGGAGACATGAGAAGGCTTCAGGTTTTCGACCACTGTTAGGTTCAATAACTTTCATATACCTCTACAGAAGACTATATATATATATATATATATATATATATATATATATATATGGGTAATTTGTAGTTTTTGTTCACTATCTTTTACTGCTGGTTTCCCACCTTACTAGTTATATCTTGAGCACTTGTTTTGAACATTCCACTAAGCCTTTTTAATCTGAAATGCAGGAGTTTGATCCAAAAGTTATTGACTGATTTAAATTTACCGATTTTCTATTGAGTCCATTCATACCATCGGGTTTTCTTTTATTTCGCATTTCGACCGAACTACCTCCGCTCTGTTGTTATCATTCGTACTGAAATCAGTTCGGTAAATTTGCCATTCTTAAAGTTGTGGAGTAAAGTAACGCAGTATATGTCTGTTTGCAACTTTGCACTTGTAAATGTTTTTTTCCTGACTATTGGAGTGGCTTGTGATTGAAACTTATCATTGAGATATCTTAATCACATACATCATACAAAACTTAAGCCACGAATCGGTAAAGATTACTAGACTCAAGGGATGGCCAAGAAAAGTGTGTCCAGTTCCGTGTTTTTCTTCACATATCTATTGTCTATTTTATCTCTGAAAAAACACTCGCGGATGCCATCTTAACTATGAAAGTGGATGAAGGTAATGTAGGAGTAAAACGTGGGCACTATGGTAGATTAATTCCATTTTATTCTGTTTATTAAAAATGTCACACAGTGAAACAGTATCATTTACTGGTTAACGTTCCTGGGACAATTTAATTGATTGTCCACATTCGTATTAGGCAACTGCACAACTTTGAGACAGAGTTTGTGCGGTCCTAAATTTATAAATGGATTCATGAGGAATCAGAAGAAAAAAATAGGCAGTAGTAGCAGTAATATAGGTGTTAATAATACAATTCTACTACTAATAGTAATAATGGTGACAAGATTGAGGGGGAATTCAATGCCTCTGCTGTTACCATACGACGAAGGCACCTCAGAAGCGTTGGAAAGAATTCTCAATAAGGCTGGGATTAAAGTGTCACTTAAACCAACAAAGCCGCTTAGAAACAAGCTGTGTAGGGTGAAAAAACCCTATTGATTCAGTTAAGGAAAATAATCTGGTTTACCAAATCCCTGGTAATGGTTGCGAGGTCAAATACATAGATCAAAGTAGTCGACCACGGTCGATTGAAATAACCAGAGCACAGAAACTTAGCTAAATTAAGATTAGTAGATCCTAATAAGATAAATTTCGAAAAAAGTTCGGCTATAGCTTTGCACACAATTACATTCAAGCACAAAGTAGGGTGAGATAAAACGACAGCACTAAAGACTAACTTAGTTGGATGGAAGGAGAATCTTTGTTTATCGAATCAATACCAAATACATGCGATAGAAATGATTCTACACCTGTCCCAGATATATGGAAATTTCTACTACCCTTGTCACAAAGAAGGAGAGAATGTTGGAACTATATAAATGGTGTCTCAAAGTTGTGGAGTCACCTGATATGAATATGGACAGTAAATTGTGTTTGAAACGTTATCCATTAAATGGAACTGTTTCACTGTGTGAGGTTTCTAATAAACATAATAAAATGAATGAAGGTAACATTATCAGTCCTCAGTCAATAGTTATGGCTCGGTGTTTGGAACGCGAACCTGTTGAGTTACGTGCATATGCATGCGCACAAAAGTAACATTTTCTGCAAGAGTATTTATCCTTTTATATCTAAGCGCTGTTACAGAATTGTTAAATATGTTCTAATTGTGCGTTTGCTAAGTGAGCACCAGTTTGTTGACGACAATGTTATGCAATATCTTCTTCATTTCCTGCTTACTATTCGATCACTCGGCATTAATGGTCAAGCATTTGATTTGTTGTCGTAAAATCTGTGTGGGTGTATTCCGTCATTTTATTTACAACATTTCTGCTGTTTGTTTTTCATCCATCTACACACAGAGATATCAAAGATACATCACTTGGTTCGTTGTCACAAAGAATTGGTTGTCAACTGGATGGATTATCTGGTTTATTGCGACAGTTACATGAAATTGGTGAATATTTGGAATTAGTTGGGTCCTCTAAGCTGCCAGTTAATCATGGAGTAATATATCACTTGCAAGATATTTTTAATCTACTCCCCGATCTTAAACTAAACGACACAGTTCGTGCAATCCATGTCAACACCAACGATCAAATGCTTGTTATTTATGTTGCTGCGATAATGAGAGCAATACTCGCTTTACACGACCTAATTAGTAACAAACTGACGAATCGTGAGACAGAAAGAAATGAAGAAGGGTCAGGAGGTAATACGGAATCGAAGAAAACCTTACTGGGATCTGGAGATCAAAACAAGCGTACTGCGCAAAAACACGATGGTTCAGATGATGTGAAACTAGTGGACTCTGAACCGAAATCTAATGATTTAGAATCTTCAAAGAAAAAGACTGACAAATAAATTGCAAGACATGACAATTTCGCTTACACAAATTATGTACACATTCATTTCCACGATAAACGAACTGTGAAAAGTGCAGTTAATATGATACCTTGGGAGCTTGTTTAATTGTGTGATTGCGATGAATAGATTCTACTTTCGTCATGTTCTGTTACGTAGCGTCTCTTTTTATATGAATGAAATTCAAACAGTCTAGGTCATCTAGTAGGTTGAGACAGTTATTCTTTGGCTTGTAATAGGGGGTACATAAAGCCAAAAGTACTTCATTTACCCTTTCTAAATGATTCGTTAATACGTGCATATTTATTGTCACAGTGAGGTTCACCTTCCACTTTATTAACACTGTCGTTTTTAGAAAAGTATTTCCTAGACTAGCAGAAACAGTTATTAGTTAGCCCGTATATTTAAGTTACCATACTCTTGGAATCACTTAGAGAATGAAATTTAAATAAGCTGTTCTCTATACTTGAAAATCAGGTGACAGGATGATTTGCCTCTTTTTCTTTGAAATTTCCAGGATGTCTAACTTGGATTTTATACACTGAGTACTGAGAAAATGTGAAGTCAAGTATTTTATAAAATTAGGGATACTACTCTCATTTTTCTGGTAGGATAAGTTTGTTTCAGTGCACTCAGCAACAACCTGCACATGTCTCAGTGCCGTGCTAATATTTCATACTTTGTCAAGTTGTTCACTGATAAAGCTTTTTAGTGTCACTATTAAATACATTGTTATTCCAACCTTACAACAAATGCAATAGAAATAAGTGTTATCCGGCTACCCTTTCTGCAGTTGCCATGATCTTAGTTTCAATAAAAACGTTTCTTCCTGTAAAGGGAACATACTAAATTTTTTGGCTACTATTTGAAATCTTATTCAGGCGAGGAAAACACAGCTTTTCGTAAAATAAAATGAGCCTATTTTTATTTTTCTGTTAACATTCGGACAACGTAGATTGTACAAAGAATGATTGCAGCATGAAAAGAATGCAAAGAATGCTATTACAAGAGATTCAACTAAAGTCAAAACTAATAGGTGCTACCTTAACATGGTGATCGGACTTGTGTATCAGGATGACCCAACGAGCTATACTGGTGGAACACTTGTTCCTCCGAGGTCCTACCATACCAGAAGGGTCTGAGGGATATTGATCAAACAAAAAGTAGTTACCCTACCCGTAGCATGTTCTTAAACGACAAAACGATGCATTACGATGGCTTAAATCAGTCAACAGTGGTTTGTGGTGATTCGAAACCACAGGACATATGTCCGACTACACCTTCCATAATACAGGCCGATTTTCGTGGCAGATGTCCCCTAGGCTCTTCGGTCACTCACTAACCCTTCTTTTCCAGGTACCCAAGAAGACAGCCTTCCATGGTGTGGGGAGCCGCGAAGTGTCAACCGCTCTCACAATTCTGTCAGCACTCAGGTTCCCGCAAACCACTCCACCTCTCTCATCCTTACCTTCTAATCTCCCTTCACGTCTCTCAGTTAACAATCTTAGATCATCTTTAATCCCTCCCAGCTCTGCAGCTCTCGACAACGATCTGGGTCCAAAGAACAGCATTACTGGTCTCCTTAAACCACGCTCCAAATTACACTTTGGACCCTTCAATGTCCTCACCCTCTATCAACTGTAACACAGAAGTCAGATGTAGACTTTTAGACAGGAGAAGTGAGTCAGTTGATGCGGTTGTGAACCTTCATCGACTTAGATGACTGGGACATTTGTTACGTATATTCCATATTGGATTTGTTTATTTGAATCATAACACACAGTGATCTAGCATTATTTACTTAATGACGTTTCGAGCATAAATTATTGCTCATAATCACATCAATTGGTATGATTATGAGCAATAATTTATGCTCGAAACGTCAAGTAAATAATACTGGATCACTGTGTATTCGGTAGTAAGTGTTTTGCCTGCGGAGGACATAAACTTGTTTCAAAATTGCGTCCATCTAATTTTTTTCACCTCTGATAGTTTTTAATAACGAAACTGGAGCATATTTCACCTTATTATTTCATATATTTCGACCAAGGAAACAGTTTCAGAGTTCCAGTCTACAAAATGCCAGTTGTGTGCTTGTCAGTGGAGAGCCATTAATCGATTTGAATACTGCAGCGTTGCATTAGCTATGTTATGTCCTGCCGCGCCATGTAGGCAAAATTAATACCAAGCATCTACAGCACCACCTTGAAACTTGTGTAGTGCATACAAAATTTATGCAGTGTCACTTTTTTGTTCCTTCACAAACTGTAGCCATTATTCTCATTCTGTCACACCACTCAAAGATGAAAATTGTATATAATGAATAAATGTTTAGTAATATTCTCCTACTTTTGGCCAGTAATTGACACAAAGTAGCGAAAGGCTCTGCACAAAAGTCCATCAGTCTTAGTTGAAATGCTTTTTAAGGCTGTGAAGTGGTCCTTATTGGCAGATGCCAAACAATAGTTCGTTGCACTTGTTTAGCACCCACACTTAAGAGACTAAGAATGAACAAGGTGACTGTCAGATAAGTAGGACCATTGGACCATTGATCTCCAACTTAGTGACTGGATGGCTAACGTTCGGCGTGAAACCCGAAGGTCCTGCGTTCGATCCCTGGCAGGGTCGTGGGTAGGCACGGCTGAAGAGTCTAATACTAGGACGGAACAATATTCAGCGCTCCCTGATTTTCAATGGGTCTCCGTGATAAATACAACCTTAGAGATGGTATATTTTTAGAAACGTGCATAAAAACCGAATCCATGACTTGACTTTCCATTGGGATGGTGCACAAGCAATGTGAAGTGACAACGTGCGGGATGGTGTGGCTGCCTAATCGTTAGAACGATGAACATCAACACTAATTTTACTGGATTGAATTCATTTGCTTTACCAGGCTTTCGACAGTAACAAATAATCCAATAATATCCTTCAACTGTGCATTATTGTTTACATACTTCTGCAGCCTACTGGTTCACTGTTGTCTGCCACTTCAGATAAACAGTTCTAAACTAAGCAACGAGAAAAAATCAATTGGACTGAAGATAAATGAAAATTGGTGATTGACGAGCACTTGAAATTTTATTGGTAGTAGTTTACCTACTACAATAAATTTACCAAGTTATACTGTCTGCAGTGCTTCTCCGTCGAGGTGTTACTATGTTAGGAAGGTCCGTTGACAGAGAATGGAATAAAAAGTAGTTAGTTTCACGATGGACTTCTGCTACTGGTCAGGCTGTATTGTAACGGTAGAAAGGTGTGACAGATTGATGTAAGATGTGAGAGTTTTTCATTGTGCGGAGCCTTAGTCAATTTAGGTTTGAGTTGCTTTTGCTTGTCATTGTGATCAAAAACAATTGGAGCGAGCCTTCTCAAACCATTCAGTTTCAATAGAGCTATGGAATCCACTGCCTATTCTTACTTTTGAAAATAGGCTGCACACTTTTTTATCTCTCCCTATACAAAAGAATAAAGATCGTGCCAGGCTTAACCAGAAGGAGAACTGCTACTATATTGAGCTAAATACTTATCTATCTTCTCCTGATCTAATAAATACTTGAAGGCTTAAACTTACAGTCGAGCACACACAAGCTTCATTTCTACCTGTTTCCTGATACTATTAAGGTGCAAACATACCCGTGACCGTACTTATGCATAGCAGGAGTCCAAGCACATAATTTAGAAAAAGTGGCAATCTTCAATCAACCCCCTACACTGACTGAAGAAATCACTGTAGAACCTCGCGCACTTGTGCATAAGCTCAAGTCGTCATGCTTCACAGCAGTTCAAAAATAACAGGTGGATAGAAAAGGAATGATATCAAAGCAGACAAAGTAGTGTGAGAAAAAGCAATCTGAAGATAAAGGTAAGGGCAAGTATTCAAGACTTGGAGAATGCTAGGGAGGAAAGTACATCTGCGCTACTGTGACCGATTTCCAGCCATGTCACCACGAGTCCACAATAACTGATTCCGATCGTCTCGTGGACCCCACCCATGCAGTTCGTATCTCCCTACTCACCTGAGACCAGCAGTTAGGAACTTCATGGAATCGTCCCACGTCTTGGAGTGGCCATCCTGAAAGCCCCCTTCAACCTAATACAATTCCCCCACCGTGGTAAGTCGAGGTAGGCCGCGTGGCTCGACATGCACAACACTTGTCCAAGATATCTCAGTCAACTAAGGTTTGCAACCTCATCGATTGACCTACCTTTCTTCCCTAGTACCCTTCGCCTGACCTCAACATTGATCACACGGTGATCCCACCAAACGCGAGCAAAGCTACGAAGAAATCTGTGATTGAAACTCTGTAATCGTTTCATACCTACTATTTTTCATAGCTCTGTCTCACAGCCGTATAATATGAGAGAACAGAATGCAGTGGAGTATACTCATCCTTCGATAGACAGTTGAATATTTCATCAGATGATGCAAGTTGGTAAATGCCCAGCGGGCCTTCTGTATCTGAACTGAGATTTCGTCGGCAACCAGGGGATAGATCGTTCCCTGTGATGAAGTCAGGCATACTTAAGGTTATGCCCACTAGTATGTTTATAACAAAGTTCAATAGGAACGGTTAGAGTGGGCATCCCTGGTGGACACTACTAGTTGTCTTCAGCTCACCAGACAACTCTCCATATGTCCCTACACGGCTACTTGAGTTCGAGTAGAGTGTTTTTATTAGCATCATAGGTTACGCAGTCATGTCGTCATGAGCCGGAAGATGATTACGTATGACTACTGACTGAAAAATGTCCAAGTTTAGAATTTATTGATGTAGAAGATGCACAGTGACTTGAGCGACTTACTTGCTAACAGAGCAGTGTGGGCGGTTGACACTTCCCAGCTCTCCACACTCTGTATGTTTATTTCTTCTTAAGGTACCAGAAGAGGAAGTACTCCTGAGTGACCACAGAACTCAAGGGCCTTCTGCTGTTTGCCGGTTTGTTAGATTCGAATCTGATTATTAACCGATGTCACCGCCACCGGTGCGTCACGCGATAGGGTGGAGTGTACTAATGTTAGGGTCGATCTTTGTGAACCCGCTCCTCATTTTACGGCATGATGAGTTTGGCAGTACTGGTACTACTGTCACACACGCATCTGCCCAGCCTACAAGACGACTTCGCCCTCGGCCTCACATAATAACAGCTT